TTTATTAAAAAAAAAAATTACTTAGTTACTCGACAATAACTTCCCACATTGATATATAAACTATATTTTCAATGTAAATTAATATATCGTTTGTTTTAGTAAAAAATTTGTGTAAATTAAAAGCCTCATATAAATCATGTATTGTTTTGCATTGTGTTGTTATTGTTCACATGTGTGATTGATTTTCTTTGAAAGCAAACGTTGATATTACTGTTATTGCAATTACTATTACTCTATTTAAGTTAAGAATTAAGGTTTAATAGACTTAATTTATGTATTTTGCAGATAGAAATATGCAAATTATATTTTTCATTTGAGTAAACGTGACATTCTCAATCCTAAATACAAACTATGTATTTATATAATAAACGAGATAACAGACAATTAAAATTATGACATATTGATTCGATATACAAACAAGATTCAACTAATCTTAATTGCGTAAAAAATTATTACAAGAGAATATCTTGAGTGAGCATGCAATCTCTTTGATAACTTTAAACATATTACAAATTGATTAAAGCAATAAATCAAGTTATGAAAAAAACATAAAAGTAACAATTAAAAAATAAAGTACTTACATTTGGTGTAACCTCTCTTAGCCATTCATCAGCTTGCTCATCAAAGTCGAATTTACAAGCAAGTCTCAAGTCGGTAGCTGCTTCTTCGAATTTCCCAAGCAAATGATAGGCCCTTCCTCTGAATTTGTGAGCTGCTGCACTATCCGGATTTAGTTCCAAGGCACGATTACAGTCGCGAATACAAGCATTAGGCTTATTCAGTAACAAGAAAATTTGTCCACGCTTGGCATAAAGCAACGATGCCTGTGGATTTAATACTATAGCTTCTGTATAAAGTTCTATAGCCTTCTCGTAATCTTTTTCTACAAATGCGGACACAGCTTCGGAACGTTTAGCCTGAGACTCTGCAATTTCTTCTTCTGTTGGTTGTAAAGTGGAATTTCCCATCTTTTGAGAAGCATCTTTGTCCGGTTCTGAAATTGTAATTTACAAAACAAATCTATTTAAATCTTAATATTTTCAAAAATGCATACAAAAAACAAAGTATCTAAAAGAGGACAAGATCTTAAACAAACTTACCAATCACTGCACTCAGATCAAGTTCCAAATCACTTTCTTCGCTTTCTGGCTCAGGCTCTGGTTCTGGTTCTGATTCTGACTCTGCTTTTTTAAATGCACTCGCGTCTTCCGACTTTTTGCTTGGTGATTCGTTACTTGACTGCTGATTTGGTATTTTCCCTCCAAAATGTTCAACGAATGTCTTGATGAAAGAATATTCTGGCTGATATAACAACGAAGGATTTGTCATACATGTATTGAAAAATACTTCCAATTGCGCAAGGAGCTCTGGTTTCAATGGAACAGACATTTTTGCTTCCTAAAACAACAATGACAATGATAAATCACGTCGAATGTATTGTACGTGTTCATGCCGCATGAATACGAAAGAAAATTCTAGCAAACGTGTAAACACGACCCACATATAACCATAAATTGATTGCATATGCAAAATGATCAATCACTGTGTAAGAAATTTATTCCTTTTGTAATAAATTTTTATTTTTCAATGCATTCGAATCATTTGAAGTATAATAATCATTTAAAGTATAAAAGTTACAATATTTAGGACACCGGTAACGAATAATCTTAGTACACAACACAATTCGCTTACTTACCGATAATAATAATTTCGAACAAATGTATGAAGTAAAGTCTTAAACTGTTGTTATTATCAAAATTATTTTGTATTATTTGCCTTCGCAAAATATGGAATTAATACTTTGTGGAGCACAACAAACTGCGCATACGAAGAGGACGTACTAAATTCGTCTGATCGTTAGGTCCGATACACAACACCGCGTTACATAGGTTACATACATCAGCAAGTTTGTCAAATAATATTTATGCAGGCAACATCTGATTGGTTGGGTCTTTCTAATTTAGATAAGTGATAAGAAAAAAAAAAAAAAATGTGTTTACGAATGCAATGATAAATATTGATATATAAAAATGACGATTATAAAGTTATTTATACGATTCAAGGTCATAAAAAAATGATCAATAAGTGATTATTTATTCATCGCATCGAACATGAATACCTAATAATTTCTTTAGGAAAAAAATACACGTGTTGTCAGTATAAAAAAAAAAAAAACATGATTATTTTATGTATAACTGTATTTTATTAAACATAACCTATAACCTTAACTTTCAATCATTTGTAAGTACCAACGTTTTCCATTGCCATCCGATACTGAGAAAGTAACAAAACTGCAAACGATAATGAAACGATCGGAATGTACGATAAAAAAAAAAAGGAAATATGTTGTTATCTCGTTCTACAAAACTACATCACTTAGAAACTAGAGAAATGATAACGCTTGTTTTGTCCCATTATATTTTCCAGCTTTATTATCTTATACTATGAACTAAATAAATTGCAGTTAAAATCCTCATTATGCTACAGACAAAAATATGATCTAATATTTACAAATGAGGTGTGTAACGCAAGCTTAACAATAAGTTCTCAAAAATTTGATATATATCGACAAGTTCATTACAAGACGGCACAGTATGTGGATATACATTATCATCCACTCTCATTAAAAATTATCAACAATTACAAGACGGTTCTTCACAGTGCACACCAAGTCTATATCGTAGAAATTACTTTACTGTATAGAAATATCCAGCCACGCTGCAATATATTATGCTGTGCCCTATTGTAAGAAATTGGTTGTTCTTCTTCTCTGCGCAACAGATAACAAAATTATTATATGTATCTGTCGACGAAATCCGTTGAAAAAAGTCTAAGACCCATTGTCGTTCAATTTAATTGTTTCGTCACACTATTTACATGTAATTGTTACCTAAAAGTAGCGGTAAAATAGATAACGTCTATCCTATGGTAAAATTAATTACGAATAGATTAAGTTCTTCCTCTTTTTAAAAATTAAACGTTGAATTTTGAAATCAGAAAGCAGAATGAAACCTGAAATGCTAGTTAATTTAATAGCAACGTGTTAGAATACGAAATGAATGCCATGTACACAGTTATATGAGATATCCTTGTGATGAATGAATATGGTAGTTATCACTATATGATTTCTCGTTTAGAAACGTTTACCATTGTCACTTTTATGGCATGATATACTCCTTAGTCTATGTTACATGTATGTATGGATAAGATACTTGACTGCGTTTCAAATGATACAATTACATAGAGACATTTGGCAAAGAACAAAACTGTTGTCGTACGACAACAAATGAAAAAAAAAAAAAAAAA